GCAAGTTCCCATCACTTCATGTTGTTAACTTGCTTCTGGAGTGTGGGGCTGACCCAGACAGCCGTGACTATGACAACAACACCCCGCTGCATGTTGCTGCTCGCAATAACTGCCCACTGATCATGAGTGCACTGATGGAGGCTGGAGCCCATATGGATGCCACCAATGCCTTCAAGCAGACTGCTTACGAGCTGCTGGATGAGAAGCTGCTCTCCAAGAGCATGATGCAGCCCTTCAATTACATCACCCTCCAGTGCCTTGCTGCTCGTGTCCTGGACAAGCACAAGATTCCCTACAAGGGCTTCATCCCTGAGGAGCTGGAAGCCTTCATTGAACTACACTAGAGTGGGAGAGCTGAACTCCCAAGCCTTTCTTGGCACTAACTTCACCCCCAGGAAGTAGCACAGCCTGAAACTTAAGGCTATCTTTGTCTGGGTGTCAAAGGCCGTTTTGTGTTGATGGGCTGCAAGCTTTGTCCTTACTTGTCACTGGCAAGCTGGCGAGTGCGGGGGTGGGGGAAGAGGAGGGTCAAGAGCTCATGGCTATCCTTCATTGCCACCTTCAGGTACTAGTTATCTCCATAGAGCACTGTATCCAGAGAAGGCTGCAGCCCCTGCGTTTTTCCATACGAACCATCTTATCCTGAGGAGGAAGGAAAACGAAGATCCCTGGGACCTGCTGCCTTTCCCATTAGTGCAGAATTAACACAGCATTAAGCTTTGGAACAGCTACATGTCACATATGCACTCTATCCCTTTCCATCCCCAAAATTGAACAGTTAGGAATGCAAGAGTGGAATAAAGTATTTTCCATCTAGTTCTTTCCCTGCCTCCTCCTCAGACTTGATACAGTACTGGTCTGATGGCAAAGTGGCTTATTCTCTGCTGAGGTAGTTGCTTTGCATGACAGTAGGGCAGGGTATGGTGATTATTTTTTTGTTTGTTTTCTTTTTTCCTTGGTTGGCCATGTAGGAAGTGATGTTGAAGATTTCGATGATTGTGCATAAATATGGGTTATTTTTTCTCTTTTAGAGCCAGGCCCTATCTATGCTGCAAGACTACTTCAATCCAAGTAAGATATAGTAAGATCAGTTCTGGTTACAGTTTCATCGGAAGATATTGATATGAATGGGGAAGAAAACCTGTGACCTCAGAAACAAAATGCTAATTGGAATTCAAGATTTTGCCTTGCCCATTCTGCACACATTAACTCCCTTTCCCAAACAGGGTCCTTCAGCTCCAGAGCTCAGCAGGTGATCACACTGAGCTGTACAGAATGAATATAGCCAAGTTTCAGAGCCCAGCCTATGCACTTTTAACCATCTCTGAGGATGTATTCTGGTAAACCCCTTTAGGATGGGAAGTACTTACAGTGTGAGTGTGGGTAGTGCTTAGGATTTTTTAATTGAGCCAGTGAGTGTAGCATGTCCGTATGAAAGAAGAAAGAAATGTAAGTTAAGGGCACCTTCTGGGCTTATTGATATCAACCCAGGAGGCTCTGTTAGTATCCCATTTTGAAGACCTGCATGAAGTAGATTGTTAATATCTGTTTTTGGCTTCTGATTCTTTCTGTATATTTACTGAGGGTGGCGGTGCTACATCAGGAATAGAATTTGAAATCTCATCTGGCTACTGTTAGGCAAGCTCATTTCTCTAATTAGAATCTGCATGCAGCTTTTTTTTCCTCTTTAAATTTGTAGTCTTGGGGTAGGTATTTGCCTACATTAGCAGAACCCTTCTTGGTGTAAACACGATGCTGTTCAAGCAGTTTATCTTCTTGCAGGAGGAGGGACTTTGGCGCCCTCTGGCTCCTTTTTTGGTCTGGGCAGAATGGAAAGCACAGTTGAGGGTGAAGCAGCTGCCTCAGCTTTTGAGAAATGTCAAGATTGGGAGTACAGAACCCTGGTAAACAGCCATGTGCTATATGCTTCTGAAGCTTCTCTATGTGTATGTATAAGCCAGCATACTCATAAACCTCAATAATCCAATACTCTCTGCTCCTTAAAGATACTAGAGATCTGCCATTACATTTTTGCAGTGTTAACTATAAGTTCTATTTATAAAGTAAGGAGTTCTAACTTTTACTGAGATGTAAAGTTCACATGTAGTTTTGCTGCATTTTTCCCCCCTCATTTTGGCTGAAACTTGATCTAAAATGCAGGAATGGAATTTGTTAATTTGTGAGCTGATGAGTGCTCTTAACTTTAAATAATAAAACAAAAAAAAAATGGCTGCTAGGATGTAAGTGCCTTGGACTTCTTGCTGGTAAGCCTCTATTTTCAACTCCTTGTTTCGTAGCAATGGTATGTTTGTGGATATGGTAATTCTGTTTCATTTCATCTGAATTTACTCATGGGAAGAGTTAATCTACACTGCAGATGCAAACATTTCCCCTGAAAAGGGATAACACTGATACTTGAATGACATATCTTTATATACTTTGCTTTGTCTTATGTAAATGAAGTAGGAAGGGATTATAATCTTTTGACTCAGATATTACCAGCCTTATACACAGTCAGGACAGGCAGGAAGAGGGATGCAATGTGGCTGTCATCAATTTGTTTTTAAGCTCCAGAGCTATCAGTGGCAGATGAAAAGCAAAACAAAATAATTAAAGTTTCTGGAGCTAGTTTCAAAACAATGATTTGGATTTAAAAAATAGCCTTCCCTGGGCAGGAAAGGAAAAGATGTATAAAATATTTGAAAGTTTTTCCCTTCACTGATCATTCCTCAAAAATAATTTGCAATAGCTTGGTCATTGTTGAGCATTTCTCAGCTTCACAGAGAAACACAGGGGAAAAATCAGAAGGTCACAAACACGTGTATGTTCTCTTGTGAAAACAAAGAGTGACAAGCTTCCTTTCCATGATGAGGAAGAACAAAGACAGCCCTGAAAATGTGGAGTGAGTGAACTTGTTGCTGCAGTTGAAATAGGCTTTGCCTGTTATGTGGCAGTCACACCTTTTGAGTCACTTGGAAATCAGTGTACAATAAGCTTTAAAAAAAGCACCCTGCAGAGTATTTTACTGCCTGCTGCTGTGTCTTTCTCTGTTTCTCCACTCCAAGCAAACTTGTTGTGACTGTTTACAAACTGGAGCAGTTTCCAGCTGACCAGATTTGCAAGGTTTATAAAATTTATAGAAAGCATAATAAATGGAGCAAGATTGATGTATATGCTTTCTTCAGAGGATTTGGAGGCTGCACAACTGCAGTGTGACAATGTTGCAGTAATACAATGCCTATTCTAACAAAGGTGATGTAGAGAAAATAGGATCATCTTTAGAAAGAATGCAACCACCACAAGAATTTCAGCAGGCTCTGTAAAGCATAAATGAGTTAATCCTTTATTATTAGGTCAGTGTGAGAAACAGAAGTCAAACTGTTTCAAAGCTGGAAGCCAGCAACTGATGGCAGCTCTTAAGCAGGACAGAGGGGGCTTTGGTTTGTCCAAGTCCCTTTATCTTGCACTAGGTCTTAGCCAAGGAGGCCCAGGAGGAGCTAAGCCTTCCTTGAGGTCAAGGAAGGGAGATAGAGAGACATTCTGTGAACAGACTTATGAGTTCTTCTATCACCCTTTGGGCACTCTGCTTGGATAGTACGTGACCAGGATGGCCTGTAGTAGTCCTGCTTGTTGGCTTCCAGACAAGGCTGGCTTCTCTTGATTTGAAATATACCAGGGCAAGTATTCAGAGTGACATGAGCACACAAATATCAGCAGTAATATCAGGAATGGGAGTCACCTGCTGTGTATCAATTGCACTGGCCCTGAAGGCTGTCTTTAATGAGCACTTGGTAGCTCTCTGGCTCTTCCCAGGGTGAGGAGTAGGTAGGGTGAGCTGCCCTACAGCTTGCACGGACCCTGGAGCAGTGCCAGTAGGCTCTGGAGTTTGCTGCTGTCACTTTGAGTCTGCTTGGCAGAGGAAACAGTTTCTAGACACCTGGTGGCTTTGGTCTGACCTCTGCTGACAGAACAGGCAAATGGCCATGGCAACACCCATCAGGCTGAGCAAGCAGGTTGGCATTGTGCTTCAGATGCCCTCCTTGGGCTAAAAGCCTAGTAGAGGTCTGCCTCATAGAGCCATTGCCCAGATCCTGCAGAATATCTCCATGTCACTGGCCTTTCTTCACTCTTGTAATGCTCTGCTCAACACTTCTGGTTTTGAGTCAAACTTTTCCCTCAAAGGTGGTAAAATAAATGGAAGGAATAATCTCAGTAGAGCATATTTCTGTGTATAACAGCCAGTCTAGCAGGGCCTAATCCCATCTGTGAACTTTTCAAAACAGATAAAGGAGAACCCACAGCTTCTGCTTTCTTAGACTTTCTCCAAATTTTCCTCCTTTGCATTCTACCTTTGTTTTTTGTTTTGTTTTGTTTTGTTTTGTTTTTTGTTTTTCCCAAAGTACAGCTTTCCTGTAAAGTTCTTATTTAGCCTCATACCTGGTGTATAATCTTGGTCCTTTGAGTTTAACAGAGTTTTCTTTAAAATATTTTTCTTAAACCATGCCTCTAGGGGCATGTGGGAATTCTATCTCACAAACACAAAGCTTGTCTCTTTGCAGTTTCAGGGGAGAACTGAGAATAGTTATCTCCTGATGCCTCAGCCTAGAGGCCCACAGCCTCTCAGAATTTTTTGAAGCAAGTTTCATGAATTTTCCCAGCTCTGATGTGAGGCTGGGGGAAATGGCGCTGCACAGCAGCAGCAAGGGGAGCGTGCCATGTGCACATAGTAGGCACCGATATGAACAGGCCACACTGCAACCACAAGCAAAGAGGGCAGCCAGTGTGACCTTGCAGTGCAGAGCACCTTCACAGGAGGCCACAGTGACTCCCCAAAGAATTCTCAGATTTTCCCTCAGATTACTGAGGGTCAGCAGCAGATTATGAAACATAATCCAGATGTGCTATCTCCCAGCCCCCTCCACTTAAGAGCTAGACATAGAGAGATATCCCCAGCTGTCCCTTTTCTGATTTTACAGGAAACAACTGGAGAAATGCAAATATAAATTAATTAAAATTTATTTATCAAACCTTTCAGTTAATCCTCAGAAAATCAAGAAAATTGTTTTCTCGGTTAAAGGAAAATAAGCAAATGGATAGTAATCTGAGGAAATGACAACCTCTTTGTAAAAGAAGGCACTTTTCTCCTGTGCTCCAAGAAATAGAGGCTATTAGGCCCCACTGAAATCAGAATAGTCCCTTTTCCAGCAGAATCTCTCTAGTCTAGAGTTTGAAATGAAGAGTGGGTGACTCTAGCTGACTTTTTGCATCTCCGATTAAGCATTCTCCCTGGATTCTTCCCCACTGTCCTGTGGACCTGGTGCAGCAGTTTCCACATGCATTGTGTTGTGGTTCCCAATTTGAACCATTCGAGCATGTTGAATGATGATGGGATGGGCACCTCCTGGATCTGCAGTCCTGTAGTGCTGGCCTGATGGGAGATTAAGTGGTTGGGAAGGAGAGGGACCCAGCTGGGTAGATGTGGGATGACCAGCCTGGAGAAGTGGGTGTGTGGCAGCAGAGACAGACGTTGGAGGATGGCATTGTTGGGATAACTGGAGAGGCAGGAGCTGTTCTAGCAGCTGCTCTAGGCTTGACTGATTCAGCTGCACTACTGATGGAGACATCTGGGGAAGGGAGCCAAGGGTCAGAGCACCTAAGTTCTGCAGTGTTTGGCAGTGATCCTGATATAGCTCTTGCTTCCTTTTCTGCTCTTGGACTTGCTGTATCTGGCACCACATGGCCTTCCTTTCATTGATTTTCTCGGGGGTAAAGGTGTTCTGCACTGTCCTGGCAAACACAGGAGAGTTCTCATCCAAGGCCACCAGCACACTGAGCATGCTGGGAATCTGACTCCGCTCCAATGGATTCTCCTTAGGTACAAAAGGAATGACAGAGTTGTGCTTGGAAGGTCGCTGGATGGACTCCATTAGAGCTGAGTTTGTTTGAAACATACACTGGTGGCACAGAAAGTTCTTGGTCAGCAGAAGGATGAGGAAAGCAGAGTTTTCCATAGCATCCTGAAAGCAAGTCAGCTGGTTGTGTCCTGCAATGAGGAAGTCCTCACAGAATGTGGCACCATTGGGCACCCCCATGTTCTCCAGCAGGTCCTTGATGCGACATGCAATATGCTCATCTTCCCAAGCATGTAGAACAACAAAAGTGAAGAACTTTTTCTTTTCACCACTGGGCTCTGGTGCTAATGCTGCTTTCACAGTTTTTAAAGGAGGAGGGCAAGTTGGAGAGGCGGATGTGTGGAGGGGAGTGGGAAATGGTACGCTGTAAGGAACACTCTGAAGAGGAGAGGGAATGGTTGTAGAGGAATTGGTTTGAGGAGGAAAGGAACAAACTGAAGTGGAAGCAGCTGCGGAGTTGGAAGTGCCTGCTGGAATGTAAGAGTCTTCTATGGGTATGCAAGCAGGACCAGTATTTATTGTCGTTCTTGAATAGGGAAGACTTGTAGATAATTTTTGCTTTTGGTCTCTGTTTTTTTTTGGTACCTGAGGTTCTGCTATCACTGTGCTGGAAATATCATCACTCTCAACAGGTTGGCCCACAGCACCAAGTGTGGGCAGCTGTGTTTCAACAATAGGGAGAGATGGATGACAGGAACTGACCTGCAGTGTCTTCCCCAGATGGGGGACTTGGGGATTTGTGTCCTGAGTGGAATGACTGCTGGAGCTGCCTGTTTCCTGCAGGCTGTGGCTCTGTCTCTCTCCATCAGGCTGTCCAGTATCACTGGTGATCTCTTCACACAGCAGACTGGACTCACAGGAAAGAGTTGGCGTGCGAAAAATAGCTGTTGGCGATTGACTGATCAGGAGATTGGTGAAGGAATTGGAGATCCCTGAGGATTGCAAGGTCTGTGGGCCTGAAAAGTCTGAAGTGTTTCTAATCTTCATTGGGGAGCTTTTTGCCATGCTGTTTGGGCTGGTCATACGGACAAATCCTGTGCTCACATCAGATCTCAGTGTCCGAAACTCACAATCTGAATCCACAGTGCTGATAGCTGAGCCACACCTTTCCTGATCTACAACCGGGATGCTATTGACTGCGTCCCTCTGAGAATCCCTGTTGATATTAAAAATGTCCTCAAAGCTTGGCTCGACGTCAGCACTCTGTGCCATCTCATCAGCTGGTGGCCAAGATGATGGACTGTAGCAGCGTGGATGGAAAAAGCATATTACAGCATTTGGATTCAAGGTTTATTTCCCCGCAGTGCTCTGCATTGCCCTGGTTGTACTTCCTGTACCATGCAAGCAATGCCTTTTTGCAGCTCAGTGATTCGACTCAGAAGTGAGCTATCTCTGTCCTGAAGAGCAGAGCAAATGAACCTATGAGAAGAACATGGGAGAACATACTGAGACACGATGGGGCAGAGAGCTCCCAGGCTCTCAGAGCTCTGGTTTTTTTCCCCCCACATTTACTGCTTACAAATATGCCAGCACATGTGACATGCTACACACATAATTCCAACTCTGTTATTAAGCAAAGAGTAAGTTCTTCACATTCTTTTCACATTATAGACAACAGTTTTAAAGTCACTGCTAAATTAATCATGTATTTGGGTAAAGCCACGCACTCATCTCCTCCAGGGCCGCTCTTTGCAGTGGCAAACTAGGAAATAAAGCCCTTTCAAGTCCCAGGAAGGCCAAGAATACCCACACATCTGCTCTTGGGCTGCCTCATGTCACTGTGGACATTGGTGTGATCTCCTTCTGTATCTAATCCCTGGTCTCTCCTAAACCGCAGCACTCACCAATGCTGACTGAGCGGGGTTAGATTGAATAGCAGACCTGCAGCTCCACAAAGAGCCTGGTGAACAGCTTTCTGCATATAAAGGAAACTGGGGTGTTTACAAATAGCTCTCAACTGGGGAAAGTCTAAAATTTAAATTTGTTTTTCTCATTCAGAAAAATTCTCTAATTGCCTAATGAATGAGTTCAAGCTGAACCTGAGGAAATTTGTGGCACTTTAAACGAAAACCGTTTCAGTGAAACAGTCGATGGGGGGAAGGAAGGAATGAAAGGCCAGGCATCGAAAGAGCAGAGCGGGACCTTTGTAACTCGTTGATACCCTTCCGCCTTGTGACTCAGCGAAATGCCCCAAACGCCCCCAAACTTCTTGTGGTTCTCACCGTGCCTCTTCGGCCGCCGCTCTCCGCCCCGACGCGCAGCGCTTCCGCGGAGCCGCACCACAAGCACCGCTTCCCCGTCACACCCCCCGGCTGTACGGTCCTACCTGCGCCGCTCCCGCCGCCCAGGAGCCCTCGGCCCTGCCCCTAGACCGCCACGCACCCCCTTCCCGCACAAGCAGCACCCTCCAGGGCCAGGCCTGGGGTCGCGGATGAGGCCTGAAGTGAGACGCTCCGCGCTGCCCCGGGCCCGGCGTCGCTGCTGCCCGGGCGGGGCCTCCTGGCACACGAGGAAGCGGAGAAACTCGGAACAGCGGGGCGGAGCAGAGCTCGGCCCCAGGGCTGGGGCGGAGCGGCGCTTGCGGAGCAGGGGCAGGAAGCCCGGCCTGAAGCAGCGCCTCCCTTCCACCCCCCACCCCCCCTTTCCGCTGCACTCGCCCCGGCAGAGGATGAGCCGTAACGCCTTGTGCTGTCACCCTCTGTAATAGCTCCTGGACGTACTTAACGCAAGCTGCCAAGAGCACATGCGCTATAGGAATTACATTTTCTTACAGCGAGAGGCTTTCGGCATCGCTCCTCCGAGCGCCAGGGGCCAGAGGTACGATGGGAGAGTGACGTGTGTGCAGAGTGGGGCTCGAACACTGGGAGAGGGTTGCTCCTGGTGCAGCTCTTCCACTGAACGCATTTATTATGCAAGTGATTTGTCTAACACAAGCTTCCAACCTGCTCTAGGTAAAGGAAAGAACAAGTTTTATTTTCAAGTCTTTACCATTACTCCAACCCTAGCAGTGGTGCCACACCAATACAAAATAAGTGACACCAGGAACAGTTCCCAAGCAAACACTGCTTTGTAGAAGTGAACAGTACCTACCTCCCTGTTTTGTTTACAGCCACAAAATATTTCACTTGTAGAATTAATTTAAGCACACACAGATAATCACTGAAGTTCTTTTTACAGTCAGGAAAGACAGTCCCACTGCAGATTGACATGCTTACAAGAAAATCCCTCTACAAAAGAGCAAGTTTTTGGCTGATAGAAAGAAGCTACTTCTGAGAAACAGCCTCTCACCCCCAGCTGAAGTCAGAAAGGAAGTAGTGTCTGTAACACAGTTTTAAAACTTCAGGAGGAAAACACAATCAAAGGTCAAGTGAATAATCCTTAAGATCTCTGCAGCTTGGATGAAGTTATTAACATAATTCAACATTAAAAATAACTCGAGACTTCTCATCCACAGCTTGTCTCAGCAAGAACCTCCAGTCAGCTGTGCTGACTTAATTAAAAAGTACAGACCCTCTACCTTCCTTTTTTGGATTAACATGCTTGAAGAAAAAATACATCAAGATCCAGAATCACCCCATCTTGGTCATCAAGCCTTCTTGCAAACTACATCTTACTGTAAGCTCATTCTGGGACAGTGAGAGCAGCAGCATGACTGACTTTGGGTACATGATTAAAAGACTAAGGAACATTCTTACAGGCCTTAGCCAGATGAATTGAGCTTCTCAGGGATCTTCCTTCAGCGCATTAGTTATTATCTCCTTTGCAGCCAACACCTCTTCTGCATCTACCTTCCCTTCTAGCTTCTCTAGCATTCCACATGCTTCCCCCAGATTTGTTTTTGCTCCTTTTGGTTCTTCAGGCCTCTTAGTCACCTTTGATGAAGCAGCCTTTTCTACAGCAAGTGATTTTATATTACTTTTACCTTTTTTCCCCTTTCTGCTATCCTGTGACACTTCAGCTGTTGCCTTGAAGGGACCCACAAGCCAGTTTAGAGGGGTGTTCTGGGTTACATACTCAAATAAGACATCGAGAGACCTTTGGGCTTCAGCCACACAGTTCCGGCTCTTGGTCAGAGTTGTGCTGGAGAGATCCTGAAAAGAATTAGCACTGGCAAAAGAAGTGTGCAGCTTCCTGATATTTTGAGTTGCCTGATGCACAGCTTCTTGGATGTTCCAGGGGAGGCCATGGATGCTGACTTTCAGATTCTCATAAATAGCTTGTAGCTGCTGAGTGATGATATGCAGCATAGCTAGAGTCCGTGATTCCATCTGCTGGGAAAGAAATACAGCTCAGCTGCTGTAGCAGATGAGATGCACACCATTCACAAGAGGTCCAATTACATACACCCACATATACCTCCATTTGGGAAGCTGTTTTAACTTGGTGTCCCTTGGGTTGAGTCAGACACCAGCTCACCCACAGCTGATGGAGTTTCTCTTGCCCGTCCAGAAGCTTCTGGCCAACCTCCTTTTTCACAGATTCAATCTGATAGGAAAAATGAGAGGCATAGTTGCATTCAATGTACATACAATCAGCTAAGCAAAAGTGGTTCCGTCAGCACTTCAGATAGGCAGGGACACAGCTAGGTGCAGGATGGAAAAGCACCTACAACCAACTCCTAAAGCAGAAAGGTTACAGAAGGAAAAAAAAAAAAAAAAAAAAAACCATGTTTGTACCAGATTTATTGCCAGCTGTAGTTGTGAGAGTGCATTCTGAGTGCTTTGTTTAACATGCTGCAGCTTGTTCAGGGAGAGCTGATAGGCTCGGTGGCGGACTTTGCTAGAGAGGGAACCCAGTCGAACAAAATAATTCTGCTGCTGTTTCTGCTCCTCCACAGAAGCCATACCAAATCCCTCAACAGCAGTGGCAAGTTGACCTGAAGGAAACAAGAACAGAGGTGTAGCTGTGCTAGCTGTAAGGAATGGCAGGGAGTAGTAAAATCCCACACTGGAAAAGTAGAAGACTGAAGTTGCTGTATAAGCAGTAGAGGTTTGCAGATGCTCAGGTATTAAAGGTGAGCTAGTCCCCAAACAGAGTGTTCTCTTCAGATAAGCAGGCTTGACAGACAGGTTGAAGCAGGCACCCACGTTTGTCTTGAGGCTGTAGGACAAGGAGTAGCTAGCAAATTCTTGAAGTCTGTCCCACAGCAAGCAGCTAGGCAGCGTTGACAGAAAGCCATCCTGGTGATACATACAGAGCTACGTGTCTATTTAGATGACTCTTTCAGCATCAGGTGCTCCCTAGCCATGTGAGAAAGGCTTTGCATTTACAACCGCCAGCTCAGCATTTTCTCACCTAGTTCTTCTTCAGTCATGGGGAGGTAATGATCCACCAGATCTTCTGATACACCCAGGACAGATTCAACACCACCTGCCACTGCTTGTCCCACTGCCTTGGCTTTGCTCACACTGTTGAGCACCACTGAATTAGTTATCTCCACACCCTCTTGGATGGCTTCTCTGCTCTGCTCAAGGGCTGTATTTATTTTGCTAGCTATGGTGCTGTACGCAGCATCCAGAGCTGTACTGACTGTTGAAGCAACCGCTGATTTGGTCTTCTCCATACCATCCTGAACAGCCACTTTTGTTAGATCTACTGCCTCTATCACCTTGTTAGTCACAAGGTTCTTGGCACCCTGGGCAACCTCCACAGCACTGACAATAGTATTTGCTACTGCAGACTTGGTCACTTCCATGCTGTCCTCCACAACATGCTTACTGAGATCCACAGCTTCTGTCATCTTGTTACTCACAAGGTCTTTGGTACCCTGGGCAGCTTCCACAGCACTGACAATAGTGGAAGTAACCGCAGACTTAGTCAGTCCCACGCTGTCCTCCACAATGTGTTTAGTGAGGTCTACTGCTTCAGACACCTTGTTAGTGACAAGCTCCCTGGCACCCTGAGCAGCCTCCACAGCACTGACAATCGTATTGGCAACTGCAGACTTGGTCATCCCAATACTGTCATCCACAATGTGCTTAGTGAGGCCTACTGCTTCAGTCACTTTATTAGTTACAAGGTCCTTTGCACCCTGAGCAGCCTCCACAGCGTTGTTAATGCTGTAAGTGACCATTGACCTGGTCAGCTTAACACCATCCCCAACAGCATTTTTAGTGAGATCCATAGCTTCAGTCACTTTATCAGCCACTGCTTCTTTTGCCTCACAGGCAGCATCCATAGCAGATGTCACTTTGGTGGAAACCAGCTGTTTGGTGTCTGAGAATACCTATGACAGGAAGGGAATAAAGATTATTTTTTTCCTGAAGCGGGTTTTCCTTCCCCAAAGTAGCTTTTCCATGTGGATAACTGTGTGCACTCTGCTAGTAGACCAGAGAAACACACCGTTTCACGTTTGTTTCCACATGCTGAAGGCATATCTCCAGCTTTCATCAGCTAGCTATGAGTCCTTTAGCCTATACCAGGGACTGACCTGACAGAGCACTGTTGCCAAATTTTATTTCCCCAAGTTCCTCTGTGCCCATAACAGTTCCATCAAGAGATCAAGCCATGACTCCCCCAGAAAAAGCTTTTACCTTATCTGCTGGCTGTTGAAGAAAAGGCAAATTCTCCTCCAGCTGATCCAGTCTTTTACAGGCATATTCATTTGCAAGTGCAACTAGACAAAAAAAAAAAGACAGTACCAGTTTAGACTTCAGTTTTCAGAGAGGTTTTGACCCTACAATGACCAACAAAGAGTGCTCACAAAAGCAAACAAAAACACTGTTTTAGGATGAGATGCATGCAATACCCCTAAGTGACTGGAAGGAGTGGAGCCAGGATCCACCTCGACCTAGACCTCATTTAAGGCTTGACAGTAGAGGCAAAGGGATCTTGTTGGAGATTTACTGTGTACCTAAGGCCTTCCAAAGGTAAGCCAGTTTTCTTCCTTCATTTCTGTGTCCGCAGCTACTGTGTTTGGGCTTGTCCTCATTTACTGCAGCCAAAGACTTTAACACCCTGCTATTACTGCTATACTTTCCACCCCATTATAACATTACAGGGGAGTCAAGAGGCCAGACTTCACATACTCTAGTAACAATATTACATCCAGCAAATTCAGTGAAATTATTGAGCTGCTGAAAACAAACAAGCAGGGGGCTGAGTGCTACCATTAACTAGAATGTACTCTAAAGAAAAAAAGAAAAAAAAAGGATGTCACTGAATGAGTCCATGAAACTCCCCTCCCTCTCTACTCCTGTATAGGAAGGGCCCCCTTGCTTACTTTGTGAATCCAGTTGGTTCAGTATGGGCTGTGCGCCACCAACCACACTGCCTACTGCAACTGCAGCCACAGTCTCAGCCACATTGCAGACACCACTGAGGCAAG